GAGCGGTCAGGAGCTTGGGTGGGCTCAGCTGAGGGTGCAACCGGGAGGCACCCTCCTTATTCCCCAGGGAAGCAAAGTGAGCTCCCATGAAACCGGCCGGTAGGAAAGTGCTAAGGAAATAGGGGCGGGGGGACCCCAGGAAGAAGTGTCCGTCTGCCTGGCAGGGGCTTCTCCAGGACACAGCTGCCTCTGCTGCATTTGGACAGGCCACTTCCGGTTTCTGGAAAAAGCCACAGCAGCTTCAGGAGTCAGTACACCCCAGTTCACATCCAGGCTCTGTTACCACTTTTGAAGAGTTACCACGTTAAAGACCTAAATGTAAGACTGGATACTATAAAACTCCTAAGGAGAACATAGGTGGAATGCTCTTTGACATAAGTCACAGCAATATTTTTTGCATCCGTCTCCTAAAGCAAAGGAAACAAAAGCAAAAATAAACAAATGGGACCTAATTAAACTTCAAAACTTTTGCACAACAAAGGAAACCATTGACAAAACAAAAAGTCAACCTACTGAATGGGAGAAAATATTTGAAAATGATATGATATGACCAGTAAGGGATTAATATCCAATATATATAACCAGCTCATACAACTCAATGTCAAAGAAAAGAAAGAAGAACTGAATAGATGTTTTTCCAAATAGGAAATGCAGGTGGCCAACAGGCACATGAGAAGATGTTTAACATCACTAATCGTCAGGGAAATGCAAATCAAAACCACAATGAGATGTTACCTCACACCTGTCAGAATGGCTGTCATCAAAAGAACACAAATAACAAATGTTGGTGAAGATGTGGAGAAAAGGGAATTCTCGTACACTGTTGATGGGAATGTAAATTGGTGTAGCCACTGTGGAAGACAGTATGCAGGTTCCTCAAAAAACGAAAATTAGAACTATCATATGACCCAGCAATTCCACGCTTGGGTATATATCCAAAGAAAACAAAAGTACTAATTCAAAAAGATACAAGCACCCCAATGTTCACAGCAGCATGATTTACAATAGCTAAGACATGGAAGCAAACTATGTGTCCATCAACAGATGAATGGATAAAGATGTGGTACATATATGTACAATGGAATATTACTCAGCCGTAAAAAAGAATGAAATTTTGCCATTTGCAGCAACATGGATGGACTTGTAGGGTAGAAAGAAAAATACTGTATGCTATCACTTATATGTGGAATCTAAAAAGTAAAACAAACTAGTGAATATAGCAAAGAATGAATAGACTCACAGATATAGACAACAAAGTAGTGGTTACCAGTGGGGAGACTGAAGGGGGAGGGGCAATATAGGGGTAGGGTATTAAGAGGTACAAACTACTACGTATAAAATAACCTACAAAGATATATTGTACAACATGGGGAATATAGCCAATATCTTATAATAACTATAAATGGAGTGTAACCTTTAAAAATTGTGAATCACTATATTGTACACTTGTAACTTATATAATATGTACAACTATATTTCAATAAAAATAAACAATTTTTTTTGTGGTACGCGGGACTCTCACTGTTGTGGCCTCTCCCAGTTGCGGAGCACAGGCTCCGGACGCGCAGGCCCAGCGGCCATGGCTCACGGGCCCAGCCGCTCCGCGGCATGTGGGATCTTCCCGGACCGGGGCACAAACCCGTGTCCCCTGCATCGGCAGGCAGACTCTCAACAACTGCGCCACCAGGGAAGCCCTAAACAAAACTTTTAAAATTGAAAAGTTAAATGGTTACCATGGCATGCTTTAAACTTACACAGTGCTGTACGTCAATTATATCTCAGTAAAACTGGAAGGAAAAAAGTGGTTATGATGGCAGTGGACTCACAGGGCTCTTGGGAGACCACAGATTGGGAATGGGAGCCACTGTGCCCAACACACGGATCCACACAGCAAAGGGCTGCCTCTGCAGGAATCTGTTGCAGGGTAACGCTGTCCAGGTGCTGTTCCAGTGACCAAAGGACACATACACACACACACACACACACACACACACACACACACACACACACACACACATACACACACCTGTACACATCGGTGTCAACAGTCACATTTATGAAGGCATAAAGCTAAGCATAACCACCTAAAACACACAGATGTGGGCACAACCTGTTCACTCGCATTCCTGTAGTCACATTTAATTCATAATCGTAAGTTAGGACAATATGCAAATTACAAAGTGCTTTTCACCTGACCCTTATTATCTCATTTGATTATCAAAACTTATGGCGAGAGGTAGGTAAGCTAATTGTTATCATCCAGTTTTCACAGATGATAAAACTGAGCTAAGAGTCTCCCAAAGACACACAGTAAATGACAGCAGTAGATTTAAACCCGGTTCCAAGCTGTACGCTCTTCCACTCTGCCACACAAGCTCCTATGACATATATACACCCTTATCTCCTAATCGGCAAATCGAAGTTTCTTAGCCGCCAAAAAGAAGACTTGGAATCAGCCCATCAGGTGAGAGTCAAATAGGACAGAGAAGCTGATAGTCTAATAGAGAAGGCTCCCTCCGCCATCAAGCAAGAACAAGCAGCCCCTCAATCTACCCTTCTTACTTCCCAGCCTGTACCTGGCATGTTCTTTCCACCCAGGACACCATCCCCAGACTCTCTCTAATCAAAAATCAAAGCCCAGCTCAAGTCCCACCTCCTCTGAGGAGCTCCCCTCCTCCAACACTCCCACCACCACCACGCTGCACACACACACACACACACACACACACACACACACACACACACAAACACACACACCCCTTTCTCGTTTCTCTCATGTCCCATTATAGAGTCGGGTCCTCACTGCTCGGCACATGTGGTTCTGGAATTGTTTTCTGTTTCAAGTATGAGAGCAAGGGCTCTGCACTCAGCCAGCCATGGGTTTGAGTGAGCCCCATCTCCCCCTTCCTAGCTGTGTGGCCCTGGATAAGTTGCTTAACGTCTCTGGGCCTCATTCTCCTTGCTATCGAAGGGGGATAATGACAGGACAAACCTAATACTTATGAGAGCTAAATGTAAAACACGTGCCTGACACAGAGCAAAAGCCCAATAAATGGGACCTAGGAATACAGTTTGAGTTTTCCAGCAAATGTCCACGGAGTTTTGGACACATTCTTTTAGGAACCCCCTAAAGGGTCCAGCACGGGGCTGGGCACAGCCAAGTCATCAGTTGGCTAGGAAAGATGAGCCCCCAGCCAGCTGTGGGCACTAACCTGTCTGGCCTCAGTTCTCTGATCTGCGGGGCTCGGCGTCTTCCCTGACCCAGAGCACAGAGCCGTGACAAACTGCACTCTCAACAGCACAGATGGTCCCCAACTTATGACGGTTCGACTTACGATTTTTCAACTTTACGATGGTGTGAAGGCGATACGCATTCGGTAGAAACCATACTTCCAATTTTGAATTTTGAGCTTTTCCCAGGCTAGCGATCTGTGGCACGATGCTCTCGTGATGCTGGGCAGGGCACCCAGCCACAGCTCCTCGTCAGCCCTGCTATCAGGGAGTGGGGGAAACAGCAGATGCGATTACCACCATTCTGCACCCAGACAACCATTGGCTGTTTTCCACTTTCAGCACAGTATTCAATCAATTACAGGAGAGATTCACACTTGATGATAAAATAAGCTTGGTGTCAGAGGATTTTGCCCAACCGTAGGCTAACGGAAATGTTCTGAGCCTATTTAAGGTTGGCTAGACACAAATATGCTGTCTGGTAGGTTTGGTCTACTATATGTATTTTCATCTTATGATATTTTCAACTTCGGATGGATCTATTGGGAAATAACTGCATCATGAGCTGAGGAGGATCTGCATTCACGAAGGGGGGAGGCTAAGTGAGCCAGGGGTTATTTGGACCTCGGTCTGGACCCTGGCTCCACCTTGAGCAACAGGAACGTCCTCACTGAGCTTCAGCAATAAAGTAAGGGTGACAAGAGTAACTTCCCAGCACTGTTACAACAACTCACGGGCGTCACGCACGCAGAACTCCTGGCACGTGACAAACAAACATGCAATAAAGTCATTGGTGGTGGACATTGTCGTCGTTTCCATTATTATTGTTACTAGTAATCCCTAGCATGAAGGATAAAGGAGGTACAGAGAATTCAAGCCACAGCTGCTGGGACAGAAATGACTTAGGAAACTGTAATTTGAAAAGATATATGCACCCCAATGGTCATTGTAGCACTATTTACAATAGCCAAGACATGGAAGCAACCTAAATGTCCACCAAGAGAGGAATGGATAAAGAAGATGTGGTACATATATAAAATGGAATATTACTCAGCCATAAAAAAGAATGAAATAATGCCATTTGCAGCAACATGGATAGACCTAGAGATTGTCATACTGAGTGGCGTAAGTCAGACAGAGAGAGACAAATATCATACGCTATCGCTTATGTGTGGAATCTAAAAAAAAAGGGTACAAATGAACTTATCTACAAAACAGAAAGAGAGTTACAGATGTAGAAAACAAACTTACGGTTACCGGGGGTAAGGGGGCGTGAGGGATAAATTGGGAGACTGGGATTGACATATATACACTACTATATATAAAATAGATAACTGATAAGGACCTACTGTATAGCACAGAGAACTCTACTCAATACTCTGTAATGACCTGTATGGGAAAAGCATCTAAAAAAACAGAGTGGATATATGTATATGTATAACTGATTCACTTTGCTGTCCACCTGAAACTAACACAACATTGTAAATCAACTATACTCCAATAAAGGAAAGAAAGAAAGAAAGAAAGAAAGAAAGAAAGAAAGAAAGAAAGAAAGAAAGAAAGAAAGAAAGAAAGAAAGGAAAGAAAGAAAGGAAGAAAGAACTTAGGAGAATTGCCTCTGACAGAGTGAATAGTAAAAATTTGAGAGCTTGTGTATTACATGAACCCCAGGATCTCCTTTCTCTCTAATACTCAGTGTCAGTGGATCAAACCACACGCCTTTCCCAGGCCCCCATCCCGCAAGGTACGGAAAGAAGCTAAACACATACTTGTCCTCTGCTGTGGGAAGATCCTCGGTGCCACCTGGGTTGTCCGGTCAAGGCCCCCGGGCAGGCAAGGCACACACCCAGGGCGGCACCTGTGAGGCACGGTCCCCTCTGGGGCTGAAATCACAGGCTCCCTGCCCCTGGGGAGCCCCTGCCTGCCCAAGGCCCATCTCCAAAGTGCAGAACTGCAGGCAGCCAGACTGTCCCAGGCTTGTCCGAGTACTGTCCCCCAGCCGGGAGGCCCAGGTCACCACTGTGACCCTCTGCGGGGCGGGGCGGGGCAGGAGGAGCCTAGGTGAAGGAGGAAACGTCTCTCGGGCACCAGTAGAGGAGTCGGGCATGAAGCAACGAGCGCTCCCAATGAGCAGTGGGCACTCCCAACTCCCAGGGCGGCTCTGCCCCGCCCGGCCTCCCTTGAGGCCGCTGCAGCCAACTTCAGCCGGGCCACTTGCCAACCCTCAAGTGTTGCCTTTAGGGGAACTCAGCAGCTTTCAAGGTGCTGACCTTCCTGCCAGTGTCTGCTGATGAATACCTGTCACAGGCGTGAGTACCAATGACAGCCCCGAGTGAGTGGCATTAAGGGGACACCTGCATTAGTGACATGCCTTTTGAAGGTCAACGATGCCTATTTAAGTACCTGAGGGGAAGGTGAGGGTGGGAGGCACCAGCCACCCTGCAGTCCAAGCCGGGGGCTCCATGACTTGTACTAACACTCTCCCCAGGCATCCCTGTAATTGAAGGAACTCAGAGACTTTCTCTCCCTCACCCTGGAGCAGAGGGTGACAGAGAAAGACACATTTGTCTCAAGCCGGCCCTGCTCACCTCTGCTGGGAAGCTGAGCTCCCTCTGTGCTCACAGGAGGGGGCGGAGTGGGAGTTGTTGATGCCGGATGAGAAGATTTGGAGGGGAGGCGACGGGGACAGCACATTTCTAGTGAAAATACAGGGGCTCGGAAGAGGGAAAGCCTTGACAGAGTGTTCCCGATGACAGCACACCCTGGATGGGCCAGGCGTCGGCCTAAAAGTCGGGAGGAATGTACACAAAGATAGCTGCTCCATTTCAAGAAAATGGAACAGGTGTCCCAGGGAACAAAAAAGTCCCGACGCTGATTTTCTTTTTTTTTTTTTTTTTTTTTTTTGCAGTACGTGGGCCTCTCACTGTTGTGGCCCCTCCTGTTGCAGAGCACAGGCTCCGGACGCACAGGCTCAGCGGCCATGGCTCACGGGCCCAGCCGCTCCGCGACATGTGGGATCTTCCCGGACCGGGGCACGAACCCGCGTCCCCGGCATCGGCAGGCGGACTCTCAACCACTGCGCCACCAGGGAAGCCCCGGAAGCCCCCCGACGCTGATTTCTAAGAGGTCTGTGCATGTGATACATGGTGGGTGGTGGTATTATTATAAAAAGATGTCGGGGGTAAACCACAGGCCTCCCCACAGATGCGATGGCCAGATGGAAAGGCTGGCAGGATTTTGACCTCACTTGTTCTCTGTGTCCCAGGATCCCCACACAGCTCCGCTAAGGGGCCCAGACACCAAGTGCTTCCATCGGCAAAACAGAGACGGAGAAACGGCAACACAGCACCGCCCAGAGCTTAAGGACCACGCTGGGTCTCCCACCAGGGCAAGTTTATGACTCACCCCACATTTTCCATTTCCCATCTTCCTGCGGGCCTGCGACTCACCTCAAGAAGCCATTTTCCAGTTGAGGAAAACTGAGACCCCAGTCACCGAGCTTAGCTCGAAGCAGAAACCAGGGGTGGCTATAACGGTAACGGGTAGCATTTATTACCGGAGCCTGGCGCTAGATACACGCTAAGGTTATTAATTCATGCAATCCTCACCTTATTATAATCTCCACTTTATAGATGAAAAAACGCGGAGGGACTTCCCTGGCGGTCCGGTGGTTAAGACTCGGTGCTTCCACCGCAGGGGCCGTGGGTTGGATCTCTGGTCCCGGAAGTTCCGCATGCCGCGAGCTGCTGCCAAAAAAAAAAAAAAAAACTCAGAGAAATTGATGGAATTGCCCAAAGTCACACAGCCAGTTAAGGGGTGGGGACAACCCTCACACCCGTCCATTTGGACCCAAGGGCGGTTTTTAACTGCTATAACTGGGGCACGGCCAGGATCAGGGCTCTACGGCTGGGTGGGAGGGACTGAGCCCCCAGGGAAGCCTGCAGGAGCAGACAGAGAGCCCGGGTCTCTTCTGAGACCAGCTCCCTTCCTCCCAGAAGAGAGAGGTTCCCAAGGTCTGGCAGGGAGGAAAGCCTCGGGGTTTAACCCTGTACTGGTCCAAAGACAGGTTCCCGGCGTCGGGAGGGCAATGAGAGAAGAGAAATCAAAGCCATAAAACTTCCCTGCCACCTAAGGCAGGTAAAGGGGAGGAAGCGAGGCCAGCAGCCATGTACCGCTCGATCCATATTTCACAGGAAAGATGATAGCAAGTGGACATGTCACTCCCCAAAACCAGAAACTCAAAGCAATTTTAGATGAACTTTCAGAATGATGAAGGAGACGACCGTGTTCGTGTTATACACCAGATGAATCACACCAAAATGTTAGCTGTAATTCCCAGAAGTACACAGAGAATTGATTTTACTGTGACACTTATCAGGATGAAAGGGTTCACCCCTGCAAGGACCCTTCTTAAGTGGCTCCAGCTTAACCCCTGCCCCACCTGGCCCAGCTCATCTGCTCCCTGAGCCCCGGCGTGCAAAGCTGCCCCCTGATTCCATGCTGTAGCCTGGCGCTGCCCTTGGGCCCCGCCAGCGTGGGTCACCAGCAGCTTCCAAAACCCTGGGTGAGCCCAGCACCAGCGGACGTCTGAGGTCAACTGAGCTCCTCTCTGAACTAGGAAACAGCCTCACTGGCTGTGTCTGTCCGAGTCTGAGTGAAGGGAGAAAAGAACTGGTGTTTTTCACGTTTACCTGCTTAATCTGCACAATTACCTGTGCGCTGGGTGTTATGACTTACTCCCTTTATCAGATGGATTAACTGAGGCTCAGAGAGGCCAACTTACCCAGAGATTTGAATATAGGTCTTAGTGACTCCCAACTGGATTCTCTTCCCACCACGTCCTGCTGGCATCTGGGCTGCTAAGATGCTACCCCCAACCCTGGGCCAGAATTTCATTCATTCATTCAGGGCTCAGCAAGTATTATTGAGTATCTATAGGTACCAGGCACTGGGTTGGGGATACAGTTGAGAATAGGATTCTGTTTCTGCCTCGTGGACCTAACTTGACACAAATGAATGAAAGTAAATGAATTACAAGCAGTGAAAGAGTGCTTTGAAGGATATGCATGGCGCTGTCCCACTTTAAAAGGGAGCTGCCTGGGTCAGGAAGGGCAGAGGAGGCTTCCCTGAGGAGGTGACCGCAACTGAGAGCCCAAGGATGGGATGGTGCCAACCAGGCAGAAGGATAACTGCACAGTGGGGACCAGGGTCTGGAGGCAGGTGTAGCCGGAGTGGAAGAGGAGGTGAGAGAAGCAGCTGTCGAAGGAGGCCAGAGGGATGGGAGGGCTGAACCAGCAAATCAAGGAGCTTTTCTCCATCCACAGGAAGCCATGGAAAGCCATTGCAAGGATTAAGCAGGGGAGGCTGGGACAGGATCAGATTTGTGTTTCCAAAGGTCACTCCAGTGCCGATTCGAGGACCAGGCTGAGCTTAGGCAGCCTGGAGGCTGAGCTTGTTTCCAGATTGGCGCCCAAGAAGGCATAAGGCATGATGTATCCTTACAGGCGTATTTGCATCCTACCAACTGGAGGTCAGAATTATACTGCTCACCATCAAAGGCTGCTATCAGACTTCAAGAACAAAGACTGGATAGAACAAGTTCTATAAAATAAGCTATAAAAATCAACTCAGGACAAAATCAAAGAGTGTTGCTGGAAAGAAAAATAGATGACGTTTCAGAGTTAATGTCATAAACATCTTTAGCTCTGTATTGCCATCTGTTTTTACACTTCTAACTTCAGAGCTAAGATCACTTCAGCCATGTCGTTCAAGAGTTTCTTCTGGTTTGGTTGTTTGGTTCTGGGGATATGTCTTTTGTTTTCTAAATGCAGCTGGTCCAATCCCGGTTCTGCCTCTTACTGCTTTGTGATCTTGGGCAAAAGCCTTGACTTTGAACTTCAGTCTTTCCTCTGACTTTACAATATTATGATCCTATGACACACAGAGACTCTATAAGAGTCAGATGGTGAAGGCTTCTCAAAGTCAAGCTGTGGGAATTTACGGTCAGACATACTCCAGAGAACAAATAACAGGAAAGCTCTCTAGCCCCCAAGCCCCCTAAAAACAAGTCTGCTGGGCTCCAGGAGTCTGGCTGAGAGCAAAAGACATACTTTTAAATCAATAACCATGATAACGTGCCCCACGGTTTCAAAGATTAGGAGTAATGGGGGCAGTGATCAAAATACAATCATCTTAAAATTATCAAAGGACAAAAAAGCAGGACTCGGGCTTCCCTGGTGGCGCAGTGGTTGAGAGTCCGCCTGCCAATGCAAGGGACAAGGGTTCGTGCCCCGGTCCGGGAAGATCCCACATGCCGTGGAGCGGCTGGGCCCGTGAGCCATGGCCGCTGAGCCTGCGCGTCCGGAGCCTGCGCTCCGCAACGGGAGAGGCCACAACAGTGAGAGGCCCACGTACCGCAAAAAAAAAACAAACAAACAAAAAAACAGAACTCAAGTAATTACCTCCCAATAAGTTTCTTCTCTCTTGAATTCTCCAAGTTACAAGGTAAACACTTAATGAATTAAACTAGAAAGTAGAGAGATTTTAGAAATGTCATTCCGCTGCCCAAACAAGTTTATAGGAGGACAATTAACAGTGAGCATGGTATAACTTAGCAAAACCTAGATACAAGCTCCTACCGGATGCCTTTAAACCAGTAATTTTCAAACTTAAGTAGTAAAGGATAAGAACACATTTAAAGGGAAAAAAAAAAAAAAAAAATCGCACCAATCCCCATGGGGTTGACTTCAGTTACTTTACCATAAATTTAATATATACAAACACTGACTGAGGTATAAATCCTATGCTTCTAGCTCCTATGCACATATAAAATAAAAACAAATTTATGGAATAAATACAATTAAAACTACCAAACCAATAAAATTCAAATTAACAACATTAACTTACTATGATGGACAATGATGCCTTGTGGAGCTAGGTCTGGTGCTGGGCTCACCAGAAAGATATCATTGTTCTAGGCTTCACCTCCACTGTCAGCTCGATTCTTTGGACTTTAACATGATGGACCATTATTTAATCCAGA